GCTGTTCATGAACCGAATTGTTCGTGAACAGAAGCGTTTGTGAACCGAGGTACCACTGTATTAACATTTGAAAATGGCAAGAACTGTAATACAGAACCCCAAATAAGTGTAAATTCTGGATATAGATTTACCTTGGATACAAATGATACAAAGAGCATTCCATCCACATCCTCAAGATCAGGTTTAACATCCAAATGGGTAGTACCAGTTTCCAAAGAGGCATCATTACTGGTTATGATGGACTTTGTAATGTATTTAGATGGTGTCCCAGCTTCAGATAACTTTATTTTCCGTGGTCTTCCTCTTTTCCTTGGGCCTGACACCCCAACATTTTGATTGCCCACAATACTCTTGTCAGAAATATGAGTCTTCAGCACATTTGTCTTTTGCTCATCAAAGATAACTTTAGCTAAAGAAGGGGTGCTGGTGGCAGTGGCCTTGAGTTTACAACTGGATTCTTTCTCTGTTGTAGTGAGACTGCTGTATGTTTCAGTATTTCTCCATAGCACATCTCTTTCTGAAGATATTTGTGGTGCTGTATTTTCAGATACCATTTTATCAGTTGTAATCTTCTCTGTTTCCTTGGCTGCAAAAGGGCTAGAGATACCATTATTTTCAAAATGAGCAGGGAAAGAATCTAATGAATGAATCAGTGGAGACTTTTCATTCTTAGAAGCTGATAGTAAGGCCTGTGAAAGAGTAGAGACTTTCACTGTATTTCTGGTGATTGCACAGGGTTCTAGGTAAACCACAGGCATCTTCCCACTATCCAATTTTAGCATTTTTGCTCTGGCAACACCCAATTGGCTTATTTGTTGTTCCTTGTGGGAGTCAATATCCATTTTGCCTATTTCACTATATTTCTCCAGCTGCTGCTCCAATATGGAGTCATCACTATTGCAATATTCTTCTGCAATGTTGTTGGTTTCTTCCTGCTTCACACTTATCCCTTCCATGCAAGTAAGAGGTCCATATTCATAGTTATCTAATGGTTCTTCTTTAACAGACACATTTATTCCTCCCTTTGGATTGAGCTGGGGTGTCACATATGACATTCTTTGACAAGGGCTAGATATTGGACTGAAAAAAAAAAGCAAGGAGAACATTCAATTGAAGAAACAAGCAGAATCTCACCTTCTCTCTTTTAGAACAGGCATAGAAAGTACACTTAGATTACTAAAAAAAACCACCTCTCCCTTTAGGCATCACTCTTTATCATTAAGACATTGCAACAAATCACTAACATTAAGGCCAACTCAGCAGCAACTCTATGAATGGCTAATTTATCATTTAGACCAATGTTAATATAGAAAAATTAAAAGTTTTGGATTTGGACACTCTTTCCACCAAAAGAAGACTAGGCCGAATAAATAAACAGGCTATACATTCTCCTTCCTCCTTCCAGCAAAACCTCAGGATGAACATGGAGTCTGAGGAAGGGAAGAAAGTTGGATGGAGACGAGGAAGGGGTAGCAAGAAAGAAAAGAGAAAGGATTAACGCATTACAAAAAGAGTTAAAGTTAACTAAGCAAATAATACCAAGCAAGAGCTAATCTTCAAGGGCATCAACCTTTTCAGCAAGCAATGCTGCAGACAAAAGCCTCTTCTCTATCAACAAATATAATTATTTGGAGAGAAAAAACTTGACTTCCTACTGAGGACTGCCTATTGGAAATAAATACAGTACATCACAACACAATATACTGAAAAAGCTAATAGTGAAAAACAGATCATAACCAACCATTTTTTGGAATTATGAATAAGGACTTTTACTCCCATAAAACTAGTTAAACCTACCACTTAATCTAGAAATCCATGTTCTAAAGATAATACACCTATCTTTTGTTGCATATTTCTTTTTGACAGTCCTTAACTTGTTGGTTTTTATACAAAGGATCTTTGCCAGTCTGCCCATGGTATGGAACATTTAGATAATCAATTTTCTTCAGAAAGCAAGAATAGTATTGGTCCTCTGTATTTCCTCTTTGTGCATTTCACAAATGCATATATTCCATATTTCACTCATTTTCACTAATATCACTCCGTTCACCTTGTTCTTACAATATGGCATTTAGGATACATGCAGCATTCCCTCAGGCAGAGCTAGTGGGCAGTTTGGGGGTCCTCCTGGATTCACAGCTCCTGTTCAAGCAGCAGATGGCAGCTGCGGCTAGGAGGGCCTTTGCAGTAGGTCCTTTGTATCTATTTCTGGATGGAGAGGCGCTACTCACAGAAACTCATCTGTCACCTCCTAGTTGGATTACTGTAATGCAATCTACATGATTCAGAAGCTGCAACTGGTTCAGAAGGCAGCAGTGTGGGCAGTTTGGGATATGCTCCTGTAACACCTCTGCTCCAGGAGGTGCACTGGCTTCTAGTGCACTTCCAGGAGCTAGTTATTGCCTATAATGCCCTATGTGGCACAGTGTTAGGGTATTTGAGGGACCACCTGTCTCTGATTGTCTCTGCTCACTTCACCAGTATTAATGGCATGCTCTAAGTCTCCTCCTATCAAGCAGTGTCATCTTGTGGGACCAAGGACCTATTGCAGTCCCCCCCAGAAATCCAGATTGCTCTGACCTTTTGTAAAACACTGAAGACCTGGATGTTCCATCAGGCAACTGGGCCAGGAGGTTAAGTGAGGCCTGCTGATTAATCTGTTTAGTTCTTATCTTTATTGTTTGGAAGTGGAATGATTTTTAGACCTCAAGCATATATTATTGTTTTGGGCTATTTATTTTTTGTAAATTGTGTCATTTATAGTTTTAATCCTCTATTCATTGCCTAGAGTCACTGCTGTGTGATGGGGGCCAATATAAATTGTTTAAATAGTTTTTAATATGAATACTAATTATCTTTCAATAAAAAAACACAATCCCACCTTTCTGATGCTTCTTCCTTTAATCCTCGATCATCACCTGTATGCACATCTGTCTCCATAAAATGTAAGAAGTCATGATATGGACTAAAGGATTCTCTCTCCAGATCTGGGTCACATATCCCACTCAGTGATGGGTCTAGTCCTCTCTGTGCTGGATCCAAAATATTCCCTTCAGGGAGATGTCTATGATTGTTAGGAGAACTAGTAACACTATTGCCTTCATGCTCTGAGCTACCATTTTGCTTCACATCACGCTGAAGTCTACTACTCAAGCCATCCTCTCTGAATCCTTTAGCAAATGGATTATAGTCTATTTTTAGCTGTGTAATTTGAATGTTCTGATAGGCAGTCACAGCAAAGAATTCCGTCTGTGGAAAAGTGAAAGTACGGACATCAGGACCATTCAACTGGATAACCTCTGTAGCTTTTTCAGCAGGCACCAGGTGTAATCGGGGTAAATAGCGGTGCATGGAATGTAGAATGATATGCCCTTCCTGGTCCAGTGTGTTATTAGTAAGCTTCAATTTATAGAAGGATACTGGTTGATGCATCCAGTAATGACCAGTAGAAGGAGACTCAGGATGAATAAATACTCTTCCCAGCACATGGGGTTCTGCCTTTCCACTGGGCTCCCAACTATGGCCATTCCATTTATAGCGGAAGTTGTCAACAGGAGAAATATCCATGACTAGGATATACTTGAGGTTTGATTCTAGGCCTGTTATCCAGTATCGACAATATGGAAACATTCGTCTCCCTTGTTTGGTCAAAATCATTTCTGTGCTGCGATGATAAAATTCATTCCACATATTATTGTTGTCCAGAATAACAGTGATGTTTCCTGAAGTGCAATCAGCTGGAAGGTACGTCTTTGTCTTAGATTTCATTGGCATTGCTGCACTGCTGAGAAGACTGCCATTATCTTGATTTGAAATCAAGGTTCCTGGGTCAGGTTTTCCAGTGCTCTGCTTCACAAGAACATAAAGAGCAGGTGCTGTGCCTGACATTGTTCCACTATTCTGATTTCCTAATATAACTGGTTGTTTCTCCATTATGGGAATAGTTGAAATATCTCCAATATTTTCCATATTTCACAATTCTGGCAGTTTTACTTCACTGATTTTTAATCATCTGTAGGGGAGAAAATCAATAAATAATATTCATACAAAATAGTTAAGCTATTTTCTTTATCATGTGTTCCCACCTAACATTTCACAGTAACAGAATTATGTGCAAAATCACCATATATTTCAATGGTCAATTTCAGCTTCAACAGATATTACCCTAAATATATAATCATTTAGCAATTACGTGTAGTATCTACAGAATCGGGCACAAAAAATGTTAAAGGAAAACCTAGATAGTAGCCAGAGACCACCAAAGCCTAGAAAATCAAACTCTGAAGATGCAATCAGGAGCAGGAAAATTCCCTTCTCAGGTGGGCATTAAAATGAGGCTGAAGAAACTCTTACTTTGCTTTTGTTGTAACCTTCTGCAAAGCAGTTCTTTCTAATCTCGCTCAGACCTAAGCAAAAAAAAAAAAAAGTCCCAATCCCCAGGGATCTAGAAACTGGAGAACATAAAACAATACTGTAATATAAACCAGTGTTTCTCCACAGAACTGTAGGGTTTCACAAGAACATAATGGGGTTCCATAAGACACTATGGGCAAAAAACAAAACAAAACAAAAATAGCCAGAGATATTCAGATATTCATAGCAATCTTTCTAAGGTACAGCAGAAAAGGTAGGGCTTGTCAATTGATATGCAGAAGTCCCCACCCCCAGCATTTGTGCTCATGACTCATTGCTTTGCCTCCTAATTAGGGGCTCTGAGAATTTTTTTTTTTACGAACAAGTTCTGCACCCTGAAAAAGTATTAAAACAAATCTAAGCAACAGGGGAGCTGGTTGAGAATTAGGATTTGTTCTATAATCTGAGCTGTTGGGAATATGTTTGCCTTTCTTTGATTTTGTTTCAGTTTGGTATCGCGCATCCTCTTTCTTTCTGCCCATTTTGTGTGTGTGTTCTTGACTGGAGGGTTTGTCTCAGTTAGCTGAGACAAACCTATTTGAATTAGATGTCCAATTCTCCTTTTTTATTATTTCTCCTGTTGTCTTTTAGTCCCACTAATTCCCCATCCTGAATTTCTTTACTAAAGACTTCTAAATTTCTAAGACTATAGCACACTTCCCACTGACTAGACTACTGAGAAAAATCAGAGGAAATGCCACTTTACTGCTCACAAATTAAACCAGTGCAGAATGGGGCTTTCTCTGAAATAAAGTAGATGGTGGCAGCATATTAAACAAGCTCTCAGAGCTTGTGGGAATCCAATTCACCACATCTGTGTGTGTGTGTCTCATGGCAACTGCATGGTCTACTGCAACCACAAAGATAAAAAATATATTAAAAGGATAAATTCCCACTAGTAATTTTAATAAGCCCAACTGTATCTTTAAAAAATACAGCATGATAACTACTCTTAATTGCAAAGGAAAGGCATTTCCACAAGACTTTTCTCAAATGACCTGTAAGTTGAGTTCTGTAAACAGATGTCTCTAAAAGGTCTCTCCAGCCAATCTTAGTAACACAAAATACTTTAACAAGACATTAAATTCCTCCAACAGATATGGCTTAACATTAAAATTAAGACCACCATTTTTGACTGAGCCCAGAAAACCAGCACACAGTGCAAGATAATATTAATTGACTAGTAATTCAGAAGTCAAAATCTTTCACTGACTGCAACATCTAGATAATCCTGAAGGGTAGCATTATATGGAATGAACAGCAAAGAGTAGCACAGTATATACAACTGTGCAATAAGTCTTGCTGCTGCTATCATCTGAAAATATACAGGCAGTAGTCAATTAAGTTAATTAATTAAATCAATTAAATATTGTCAAGGTGAGTGCAATTCTTTGCAAAACAGCTTGAACCTCAACCTCCAAATAAGGCTTTCTGTTCATCAACAGCAATTCTACCTTTTCTGTAAACTTATTTTCTTCCATGCAGCACATTACTGTCATGGAATGCTTCGATGAAGGCCATGCTTGGGGAGATAAGCATTGCCTTAGCCCCCAGCAAGAGCGTGGGAAGGTTAAGATGATGAGACTGGCACCACCCTAAGGAATTCGCAGGGTTTTGCTTGCTAACTTGGAGAGTTTAGATTCAGTCTGTGTCAGGTTCAGCCCAAAGAACTCCACAAGACAGTACAAGTCTAGTTTGATAGCTTTTATTAGCTTCCAACCACAGACAGAATCCT